TTAACACGCTTTTATTAGTTTCACGTGTATGTTTGTTGTTTGTAAGTTTGTAACTCTCCAAACGCCACGCGTTATCGCATATTCCGTTGTCTAGACTAGACTGTTATACGCATTCACCCCTCCCCACGCCTCGCTCACAATACGACGGTACACTATTCCTATAAAAATTTATTTTTAGTTATCGTACCCGTACACGCGTGCTTGTCATCAATATTATATATATGTAAACAAATTTTTATTTTGACTGACCAATAACGCCCGCGTCTAATGCGCCTTACGTATATATATATATATTCCTACCGCCGTTTATACCTCGGGTATAACGTTAGTCCGACCCGCCCGGCCATAAAACACAGCTATACTTAGTGCATGATACTTTTACGTAGTTAAGTCGCATTATTTGTATAAATATATATATTCTAATTACTATTAAAATTAATATATTAACACGATTTATTCTAATTAAGAGATATAAAGTATTCATTCCGATTACGAGGGATGATTTCCGTATCGTCATTTTTCGTCACTACCTCCACGTTCCGGGAGTGAGTAATTTACGCGCCTGCTGCTTTCCTTGGATGTGGTAGCCGTTTCTCAGACTCCCTCCCCAGAATCGAACCCTGATTTCCCGTTACCCGTAACAACCATGATATTGATAGTAACTACTATCATAACATGAAACTAAAAAGTAAAAAATAAATATAGTTTAAAAAACTAAAAAAACACGCTTTTAAAGTACATCGAACTAAAAAGTTAAAAATAATTTTTAAAATAATTATGAACAAAAAATACTAGTATTATTGTGATAAAAGCGTGGGTGCTTTGTGCCATATTTTTCGTATATTGAGCGCCCGACGCTTTTATCACAATAATACTAGTATTTTTTGTTCATAATTATTTTAAAAATTATTTTTAACTTTTTAGTTCGATGTACTTTAAAAGCGTGTTTTTTTAGTTTTTTAAACTATATTTATTTTTTACTTTTTAGTTTCATGTTATGATAGTAGTTACTATCAATATCATGGTTGTTACGGGTAACGGGAAATCAGGGTTCGATTCTGGGGAGGGAGTCTGAGAAACGGCTACCACATCCAAGGAAAGCAGCAGGCGCGTAAATTACTCACTCCCGGAACGTGGAGGTAGTGACGAAAAATGACGATACGGAAATCATCCCTCGTAATCGGAATGAATACTTTATATCTCTTAATTAGAATAAATCGTGTTAATATATTAATTTTAATAGTAATTAGAATATATATATTTATACAAATAATGCGACTTAACTACGTAAAAGTATCATGCACTAAGTATAGCTGTGTTTTATGGCCGGGCGGGTCGGACTAACGTTATACCCGAGGTATAAACGGCGGTAGGAATATATATATATATACGTAAGGCGCATTAGACGCGGGCGTTATTGGTCAGTCAAAATAAAAATTTGTTTACATATATATAATATTGATGACAAGCACGCGTGTACGGGTACGATAACTAAAAATAAATTTTTATAGGAATAGTGTACCGTCGTATTGTGAGCGAGGCGTGGGGAGGGGTGAATGCGTATAACAGTCTAGTCTAGACAACGGAATATGCGATAACGCGTGGCGTTTGGAGAGTTACAAA